GCCTGACATTGCTAGGACAGAGTGGGTTCTTAAGTCCTCAGTAGTTGTATTACATTGTATTCACCTGACATTGCTAGGACGGAGTGGGTTCTTAAGTCCTCGGTAGTTGTATTACGTTGTATTCACCTGACATTGCTGGGACAGTGTGGGTTCTTACAGTGAATAAGAAACAGGAGGATTGCTATGAAAAATGGGTCTGAAATTTTCTGATTCTCTGTTTTTGTGTTCTTTTTATATGCATGAAAAAGGAGTTCTGACGCATAATCTTTGAATTTTAACCCTCTAGAAAATGTCATGAGCACGCAGTTACAGAATGAAGAGGCAATGAAGAGCATCTTCCTGGCAGCAAGGCAGATCGCAACGGCTGAGGTGAGAGAACTTCTGGCTGACTTCCGAGCTAAGAGGGCACTAGGTCTGGGTTCCATCTTTGGAGATCAGCAACTTCATAATGAGGACATGGATCGGACACAGGAACTCAAAATAGTGGAACAGACTTTGATGCCTCACTTGGACAGACTCACAACGTAAGTCAAAGAGGATGGGAAGTACATGTAGAACAGGTGGCAAATCCAGGTTCACTTGAGGTTTACCTCAACATTTTACCAGATTTAGCAAGGATTTTGAAGGGTGTCTTTGGGTAAAACCTGGAATGAGTCCTTGTTCCATTTCAGTGTAGGCAGTGATAAGTTGGCAGGTAACAATCAATCTAAAAATGTGGATTGGTTAACTTGGCACAGATTGGAAGCGGAGCGAGAGGACAAGAATGTTGCCATGGCGTTTGCCATCACTACCTTCATGAAGCAAGTCGGCGTACGAGTCACGAGCAACAGCCCATTAGAGAGATGCCCCAGCTTCACAGCTCGAGACAAACGGACAAAATGGGGTGGAAAGAACAAGAAACAACACATAAAAGGTCATCAGTTTGTAGAGATGCACTACCAGTCAACAGTCTTCTGTAATCATTGCAGTGGCTTGCTGTGGGGGATCGGATTCCAGGGGTACCAATG